GGTTCAGAGCCGCTCCCCCTCCACCCTGCGCACCCCCCGCGAGACCCCGCGGGTCGAATCGTAGCCAAGGAGAGAACGTAACCCCTGTTGGTGCCTCCTCAGACGGCAGATATATAACCGGGAATAAACTAAGTGAAGACACGCAGAACCGTGAAGAGGAAGGGGGTGAGAGGGTGGATGGAGGCTTCAGACGAAGGGTTTATCGGGGGTGGCATAAATTTTCGATGGAATATTGCGAACCCGTGAAAGGTGATGGGACGTTCCTTTGAATTGGTGATGCATATGGAAAGGGTTAAATGATTGTTCGAAATTTTTGGAAGGGGAATTTTAAGAACCTTCTTTGAATTAATGAGTATATTGAAATAATTGGAAGAAAGTGATAAAATTTCTTGCGAAGGTATGTAGAAAGGATTGAGGATTATTTTTTTTTTTTTTTCGTTAATAAATTTTGAATTCGTGAAAAGAAGATGGAAAATTATAGAAAAGTTATCGACTGATCCTTTGGGTAAATTAGTTTTATTAATTGCAAATAAAATTTAAATTTCATATATATATTTTAATTGTTAATTTGCATTTACTATTTCACTCGTATCTATTTTGTAATCTGCTAATTATTTTCAGAAGTCAACAATCGAGCTATTGTACAGAATATTCTGCAATCAACTCTAAAATTTCCATTGGGCAGTTAATTATCCCTCTGATATATTGTCAGATCAATAACAATCTAATAACACATCACAATAGCTGATACCACATTACATCGTTCATTTCATACCATAGTATGTACATATAACGGGTTGTAATTAACATCATCATCACTTTGTTATAAGAAGAAAATAATTGGATACGATATAACAAATATTTTGTTCCCGGAGATTTTATTATTTATCAATTTGAAATCTAAGTTATTACTTCATTATACGTATATATATATATGCCACATTATGTATTATATATCAGATAGTATCGCTACTATCAACTGTTTCAGATATTCCTAGGGGAAGTTCGAAAACTACCCCCTACATCGATATCATAGGACTCATAGTATTTGAATATTTTGTCACGGATAATTTACAATAATTTCCAACAATTTGCAATAATTTCTGCCGAAGAAAATATGCAAATAAAGAATATTAAGTAACGAGTCAATAAAATATCAAAATAAAATATGCATTAAACGAAAACATTTCTGACAATCCACTGTACATCATCATCACACGTTTGTCAGCCTGAGAATTCCCAAGTTATTCACAGCGATTGCGTATGTTGCGTTTGATGGATGATTTGTTAGATCCCATGGAATCGATACAGAGCTTAAATTTGGCTCGAGTATGACGCAATAATAGGCAATAGTACGAGGTACGCGCGTAATCGGATCTGGCCCTGATATTCTACTTTGAATGGTAAGTTTAGAGGTTGTGATTACGAATAGACGATTGTCGCGACACGCGGCAAATTCGCAAGGATAAGACGGGATGTCGAACTTCGAGAAAATTTATTCCGAATTTTGAACTCCAACATTCGATTAAACGAATTTCTATTATAATATACGTGTATCAAGAAAATTTATTATTTATTACGAATTCTTGATTATTATTTTTAAATTTTTTTCGGAATCAATTTGTTTTAGAAATAAGGAATTTTTTTTTCTTCTTTCATCAATTAATAATAACAGAATATCATATTTCTTTGTTACGTTTGAACGTTCAATAACGGTATAAAATAATACGTAGAATTATGCATTCATACATGGAATTTGAAAAAAAATTAAAAAAAAAATTTCACGAATTTATAACTTCGAAAATCGAAAACTTGAAATATACACTGGATTAATTTTTATATCCAGGCTTTCATAACTTATATCTCGGTGAATGACGAATCTACTGATCCATATTCCATTCGAGTTTTATCGGGTTGACCTTTTTTCCATCGGCGTTCAAGCCCTCAAATATTCACCGGACGAAAAGTAGGTGCGGGACACGGAAATTTTTAACAACTCCCCATCCCTGACATCGATTTATTCAAGCTGCATTATTTACCACGACCGATACACATTGCATTCCACCATTTCTCCTTACCATTTCATATTTGAAACTTTTACCATTAATTATTACTTTGTGTAATGAACGAAACAGTAAATTCAGAGTAAATTAAATTATTAAAAACGTTCAACTTCTCGTGGACAGAAATTATAAATCGTCAAGATCCGTTCATCTTGAAAAATATTTTATTTCAAAATTTTTCTTTTTTGAAAAATTTATGGAATTGATTTAAAAATTACATCTCGTCTACCTTTTTTTTATCGCAAATATTGGCAAGATAAATAAAATATAAATATGATGAACCGAAAGGTAACAATACGTACTATTCCGAAAAATTATCATCTCGCGAAAAACGCAACAATATGAATCAACGATGAAACTCTATCTTTATGTAACCAAATACGATATCTCTGCATCATTTTATAACATCTCTCGGAAGGCTCGAAAGAAGCAGTATTTTTAAATTCTAACTAGATTCTTAAGCGCTTTAATAAACATGGTGTTAAATACCCACCAAAAAACCCTTTTACACATCACACAAATTTAAATTACGAATTATACCCTTTAATTTCTAAAATTTTATCAACCTCTGCTACTAAATTTCTCCCTTCCTTCCGCAATTAACGATTCGCCGAAAAATTTCACGCTTATTCGATACTCGATGCAAGATTAAGGCGAAATTTAAAATAATCCCTGGATAGAAAGAAATATCGTAATGTTGAACGAATGGAACGGTACACCGCCTCTCTCTGTGGATGTTACAGCGCCCAGGCTTGCCAATCTTCGATCGAAATATTCGACGGCCCCTCCGAAGGTACCGCGAAATCCCTCGAGAGAATCTGCAGTCCTGTACAGCGGCCTCCGCCGGAATTCGTGCAACAAGATACGTAAGTGGATTCTCCAGTTATTAGACGAGAAATACCGGCGTCGTCTACATCGCGCGGCTTATTACTTGGATACTCCACCGCTAAGAAGTAGTTGGAATTCCGTTCGATTCACGACGCGAAATGCAAACCACCTACCTTCGAATTGACACACAGCTCGTTGAACTTGCGAAATTAATGCGGGGAACTCGTCCGTTGATCGGCAACGTTCAGTTGACATTCTCCCCCATCTTTCCCCTCCCCCGAGGACCGGTATTGTGAGCCACCAGATTGGAAAATTCTCTTCATCCGTTCGGATACGAGGTCGATTGATCAGAATTCAAAATTTAAGATTTCCAGTGATAACACGATACAATAATAATTTTGGATCAATTTGTCTTCTTGAAGAAACCTTAAACCAAATTAAAGAATAATCGAAGTCGCGTATAAAGAATTAAGAATTCTGAGATAAATTCTAATATTTAAAATTTGCTAAAAAGAAGTATTCCATTCTATAGCAGGAACAGGAACGAGCGCGTTGACTTAATTTTGACCTAAATAACCGCGCTCCCTTCGTAGAATTTTCCAAACTATTACCGGTAACCTACATTAACGGGCTCGATGCTGGAAAACGTGAAAACTCCTCCTTCCCCCGACCTTATCCGTGTTTCACCAGTCGAAGAACCCGATTGAGCGCGATTCATCGAGACCTGCCTCCCTCCCTCCCTCCCTCTCTTCCTCGTGCTCGATGAATGGGATGAAGCCGGGATCACGGTTTCCTGCCGGTTTCCTTTTGCTCTCTGTTCGATCTAATCAAAGTGACGCCGAGCGCACGAAGAGATAGCTATGATAACACGATACACACGCGGCGTTTTCGATCTGAAAAAAACGCGT